TTAGCATCTTGATCAAAGAAATTAATAACTCAACAAGCTATTTCTGTTAAGGCAAAACTGAAAGATGAGGGAACATAAAAACATTATAACAGAAATCATTTCAGTTAAAAAATCTAATTGAGATATGAAAGTTCTTTTAATATTGGTAATGGTGGTTTAAGGATAATCTAATGATTGATATTGTTAATATTATAAATTGTTATACATATACATATTATTTTTAGAAGTAGTATATACTGTACAATAACTTTTAAAACATTATTATTGTGGATGTATGGAATAATTCANTATATATATATAACTTAACTAGAGGTTTAAGACTAATTATAAATTATAACTAGTTTAGGAATATAATTAAGTAGAAAAATGAAGAATAAGAACAGAGGATAGAAAAGGGGTACCCAAAATCTGTTACGATGTTCTAGTTGTGGTGGTTTGAGGGGACGAAACTCTTTCCTGGAATGATGGATGAATTTTCTCTTCTCACTATTCTCATGTTTAGCTCAAAGGGCCAAAAATATTTTCTTATACTCTCACGATCAAAGTATTTTTTCTTCTCTCACAGTCTTTGTCTCCTCCACATGATGCTAAAATGCACTGGAGGGCTCAATTTTGCCGTCTGACCTATTCGGGTTCCTCACCCAGAATAGCCACGTGCTATCCTTCTCGCCCTCAGGGACACATTCTGTTCTAAGTGATTAGTTGTCCACACACCAATGAAGGAGGATTGAACAAGAACATTCCAGAAAGAATAGACAATAGCAAAGATAGATAGGGGGGAAGGAAATATACAATTTTAAAGTAAAATAAATATATATAAAATATACATTGAAATTATGGCATGCAGCCACACTTTGAATAATATTGTTGCATGCACTACTGATGGAGCAGAATCAATGTGGATTTGTTGCTTATTTGAAGGAAGACATGCTAAATGTTTTATGTATTTATTGTGTGGTGCACAGACAACAACTTGTAGGAAAACATCTAAGTACAAGTTTCCATTCATCATTAACTATAATAATTTGAACCATATTTAAGATCAAATCCAATGCAAAAAATGATAGTGTGGCCATCAGCCATATTGTAGTTTGCATATAGTTCATAATTCCTTATTTTATTTCTATTGTTTTACTTTCTTTCTATTGTGTTTGAGAACTTTCCATATCGACTGTTACTACTTGAGGGGGGAGGCTTACCCCTTCTCAGAACCAAGGGTGAAACAAAGAAGTAAGGTATTATGCTTCTCTGAATTTGGGGAAATAAACAAAAGAAAATATAGCCTGAGGCAAGAAGAAAGAAGAGAGAACATTTTTTGGCTGGACCTCAAAAGGAATGGATGTACAGTGTAGTGAGTGAAGCTTGAAAAGAGAGAGGTGGGAAGAAGACAGCAGGTATAGGAGAGGACTGTTGAGATTAGAGAGGAGGAAGCACAAGGGACTAAGGAAAACCGAAAGAATTAGAGAACCTCAAGAATGAATTGCTGAATCAGTAAAGAAGAATAAAAGATCACATCTGTGAAAGGGCATCTCCCTGAAGATATCAATCAATCAACATGGACCCGGGTACTCTCTATCTATCTCTTTATACTTTCTATACTTTCCTAAGTCTAATTGTTTCCCTGTTATATTAGTTTTAAGTTAGACATAAGATTAGTTTTTAAGTTGGTTATCAAGTTTTGTGTTACGTGTGCATATATTATATACTTGTATGAGAATAGGAGGCGACCTATTTCCCTGTGAGGATAATAGGGTAAAGGAACTTGTTAAGTTGGGATCTTTGTAACAAAACAAGAAAAAAGAACTGCATTCGGAGAGCATTAAAGGAATATTCAATCATACATGTTTTTGTTCCTGTGTTTTTGTTTGTAACGTTTATTTGTAGACTTACAAATCTCTCATTACGAACAACCACAATAGAATGTTTTGACAGCTGTGCCAGGACAATAACAAAGATTTTATTACGTTACTTTCGCACACAGAAGTTTTGTGGCTGTCAAAGAGTACATCTTTGGCTCATTTTTTTAGCATTATATGATAGTGTCATACAATTTTTTGAAAGTAATAATGAGACCAATCTGTGTCAACAGTTAAAAACAGTAAAAAATGATGCCTTTTATTTGGATGTTTTCATGAGATTTATAGATGTCAATTTGCAGCTTCATGGAGGTAATAAAACTCTTATAGGTTGTATTGTGTATTGTGTCATTATTTATTGATCAACTTGAACTACTTCATTATAATCTATTGAAGAGAGAATTTCATCAGTTTCCTGAATTATCATTTATAAAAGATGATGTAACTCTAGAGGATATTGACAGATTCAGTAGCCACCTCAATGAACTTAAATTGGACACAGAAAAACGATGTGAACATATTTTGAAATTGAAGGTGTCTGACTGGATGAAAAATCCTTTTACTGCAAATATTGAAGAGGCTGATACAACTTGCCAAGAAGAACTGTTAGAAATTAGATATGATGAAGAAAGTAAACATAAATTCAATAGTGGTGTATATAAAAACCTATGGCAAAATAAAAAAATGCCTGTCTTATATCCAGATATGTGGAAAATGATATTCAGTTTGCTTATACCTTTCCTTACTTCATATCTTGTGGAATCAGGCTTTAGTGCTGTTAATCATATTATGACCAAAGAAAGAAACCATCTGAATATTTCTGAAAGAGGAGACCTTAGTTTGTTTTTTACAAAAATTGATCCAGATATTTAGTATTTAATTTTGCAGCATCAGCCTCAGGGATCTCATTAATAATTTAATTAATTAAATGTAATTTCATCAGACTTCATGCTTCTATATGCAAAGTATAAATAAAAAGATAGATATAACTACAGTAAGATGTTTTGTAAAGATTTATTCTGCCAAACTTAGCAAAAGTTTGACATAAAGCATTTGATAAGTAATTATAATTATATGCCGTAACTCTACTTTATAAAATTTATAAAGCAAAGTTACTTCCCTACTTTATAAATCACTGTTACTGTGCAACCAGTCAGTGGTTAGAAAATTTTACTACTAACAGAGATACAAAAGTGGGCGATAGGTATAAAAAGGTTGACTATCCCTGATGTAGACTATATTCAAATTCAGATTCTTCTCAAACATATGAAAATTCTCAACTTTGTAGTCATCCAATTTAAAGTTACTACAAGGTTTCAAATGTATTGCGAATATCAATTATTTTTGATCTAGAAGTTTGATAGCAATGATATTATTATTTCAATACTTTTGTAATGTATTATCCCCGGTATACCTGGGTATACTAGGTATTAGGGTTGGGTATGACAACGGAGAATAAGGACTTCACAATGACAAAATTGTTAAACAAAGAAAACAAGCGTGTTTATTCTGTGACGATTACACTATCACGGTCTCTTACAGTTCAGGTTAAATACTCTAGCCGAATTGAACCGAACAATTCCAACCGCGAAACATATACAAGATCTGTTCTAATTACATACCACGAGGGTTTGCTTTATCCCCGACATAACACAAGAAATATCACCTTACAATTGTTCGTGTTGATGTTCTCTTCCTTTAGGAACCTCTATTCAGTCGAACCTCACAATGTCCACGTGGATGGAGTTGGATTTTAGTTAGCCTCCTCAGCAGTTCATTCTTTCTCCTTTTCTCGTAGCAAAGATGATCCAGCGAAACGACCCGTCAGAACTTCTAGAATCCAAGGTTGAGACGAAAAAAGTCCACTCTTCAGGCAAACCACCCCTTNGTATAAACTATGCTATAAACAAAAAATTGTAGGATTACTTACCGAGTGTGCACCGTTCGACTACCCCATTGCTTAAGCTTGTTTTCGTCACAGAGCAACGCACCAAATGGTGGCCACGATTTCTGATAAGTTATTTTTCTGCAAAAACTTCCTTGAACTTTGGAGACATCATTAATATAAATAATTTTTATGGCCGTTGAATAAGAAATGTTTCTTTCACAAGAAGTGTATAAAATTAGTGCTGTATTAGACTTACGGTACCTAATTTACATACTGTACAGACGATAGTAAACTCAACTTACTCGCCTAAACTCTCCGTAGTGTGGTGCTGGATGGCGGAAAGTAGTTTGGCTGCCCGATGACGTTTTACCAAATTATATGAGTTTTTTTTACTATGTTTGTACAGATACCATCGCAATTTTTTTGCCGTCATATAGGAATCCGAACTATAGGAACTCGTGTTATAGGGGGGTCGACTGCACAGTATTATAATGTCAAAGGTTTTCAAGATAGATAATCTAAAATATTATAAATATGACTTACCAAATTAAAACACTTATAATTAATTTTATAATTGTACTTTGCTGCGCTGCAATTTGAAAAAAATTGTAGACCTACAAATTCCCACTGTCATCTATCTATCTGTTTGCTGTTCATATGTCTTTTCTTAATTTTGAGAACAGAATTAGGTAGATGAAATCCAAGACCAGTTGTAAAAACCTTAGTGAGGCACAATTGACAATAACATGACTTTTGGTGCAAACTGGAAATCATGTTATTTCAATTCAAAAGTTTTAATAGCAGTTAAAAGCAGTTAATAAATGATTAGCACAACTCTACTGTTAAAGGAAAAGTATAATGTACAGGGACAAGATACTACTAATTTGAGGTGGAGAGCATATATTTTAAATTAAATAAATTAAAAATATGATTAAAAATTGCAGACCAGCATTGTGATGATGTCAGAATAAATAATCATTCATTTTATTTCTTATTGTTTTGAACACATTAACCTGAAGATCATCTATGTAGATCAGAAACATTTGTATTTTATCTGTATTAAACTATACCGGAATTTCATTTATAAGGTTCATAGGTTTGCATTTTTTACTCTATATTTAATTAACATTTATCAAATATGGGAAATATATTTAAAGTAGGTTTATATATAATTTATAAAAATGACTAAACAAAAGTATAAATTACATTAATATACAATACAATTATTATATTCAGTTTAACATGAAATTCTTAACTCTCATTTGAAACTTTTTTTCAGAAAAATGAATTACTTCATATTTTTGGTTCAATGCTGGCTCGGAAATTAGCTGAATTTGGTGACCATATTAAATTATTTGGAAATAATATTATTCAAAGAACTATTGAACTATATTACGACATTTTGAACAATATTCATCCTTCACCATCACACATTCATTACATGTTCAGTATAAGAGATATTGCAAGAGTAAGTTAAAAATATAGTAGTTTTTACAAAAGAATAGAAGTTAGTTATTCATATACATATTATTTTTAGAAGTAGTATATACTGTACAATAACTTTTAAAACATTATTATTGTGGATGTATGGAATAATTCAAAATTAACTGACATTTTTAATTTCATTATATTTTTCATTAATTAATTAACTGTTTTGCAGTCTAAAAAATAAATTTGTGTTCCCTCACAAATCCATAAAATTTTAATGTATTTAAATATTTTGTATTTATCCCAAGTTATGGGAACAATTATACATGTAAATTAGAAATGGATTTTTTATATACAGTAGAGCGTCATTTATCCAAAAGCTGATCAACCGAAGCGGCGGTTAACTGAAAGCGTTCCCGTCAGACTGTGTTGTGCTGAATGGAACGTTTTTGATACTAGATTAACTTCCAAAATATAATTTTTTTGTTTTTATATTTTTCAATATATTTATTTTGTTTGTACAAAATAAAGAAATAATTTTTAATGAGACAATAGCCACGATTATTATTTTAAAAAATTTACATTAGGCTTAACATCAACGAAAATTCAACACAAAGCGACATGCAACAAAGAAGAATTTCAACATAGGATAGGTTAATATATTTTTTCATACATAATCGGTTATCCGAAAAATAAGTTATCCGAACAACCTCAGTCCCGAATTGATTTGGATAAGCGACGCTCTACTGTATTTCAGTTATATTTTTTTTACTAGTACTTAAGAAATGAATGCTTTAACATACATTTAAATGTGAAGTAAATTTAATTTTATAAAACGTTATTTGAAAGTCATCAGACTGCCATTTGAAAAAATTGTAGACCTATAAATTTCCACTGTCGTTCATCCATCCATCTGTCTGTGTGTCCTTTCTTAATTTTGAAAATGGAGTTAGATGAAAGTCAGACCAGATATGGAAAGCTTAGGGGCAGGAGGCCCCGATTAACTATATATGAACTTCTGGTTTGCACCAGAATTGATGTTATTTCAATTCAAAAATTTTCCCTAAAAGGAGTTAGATAGATGACCAACATGACTCTTTTGCTAGTAGAAAAAGTACAATGTACAAGGACAAGACACTGCTAATTTGAGGTGAAGAGCATATAATTTGATATTTGAAGAGCATATTAATTATATGCTCTTCAAATATCATCAAATATCATATCAAAAAATTAGCATTTGATTAATAATTGCAGCCCTGCATTGTGATGATATCACAATAAATAATTGCTCATTTATAGTATAATTTTAATGTTGTAAATTCTTTTGTGGAAAATAATACAAATGAATAGATGATTTTTTATAAAAATTGTCTTCATGTTTGACTTTTTTACATAAAACTCAGGAAAGATATTTTTGAAAAGACTTAGGTAAACATAATTTTATATTCTCCTATGAGTCTATTATTTGAAATAACTAAGAATTTCTATATAGAGTTTAGTTTAAATATTTAAAATATAATTTACTATATGTTTAAAATATATTTAAATTTGACTTACAAGTAATATTAAATGCGAAATTGCATTTCAGTATATTTTTTATATAATTTTTTTATCTTATTTAATTAAAATCTTTAAAGTAACAGTTTATATCAATTTGGAACAATAGATTAAACACTTTATATAATAAAAGAAACATTTTGAAACATTAAAATAATAACAAATTAAAATTTTGAAAACTTAGTAAATGATTCTTAAATAATATACTTACAAATTAAGAATACCAATGTGTGAAATAATATTTTACTGATATATCGTAACTATTCAAAAAAATTTTTCAGATTACTTTAAATTTTTTTTAATAAATATAATAATTTTTAATGTATTTAAATATATTATTTGTAAAATTTTTGTAATTTTTGTTTACTTAAGAACAACCAAAATTTATTTTTAATTAATTAAAAGGAGAATAAAAATTATTTAGTTAAGTGATTGAATAATTGAAAATATTTGAATTTGTTAAGAATGTTTTTGTAACACTTCAATAAAATATCTAAAGCAGTTTGAATCATATAAACTTAAAAAAAAGCAAAAAGTATTATATAATAATAATTATATTGAAATAAATTTTTAGTAAAGTTAATTATAATTTTTATTATTTAGGTAGTTGAAGGATTACTTTGTGCCAACAAAGATTACATTGATACTTTAGAAAGTTTCAATCGTTTGTGGATTCATGAGTGCATAGCTGTTTTTTCAGATAAACTTGCCTCAGATCAAGATATACAGCAGTTTTTCTTATTTCTCCATGATAAACTTAAATTACTTTCTAATCAAACATTAAATAATCTTTTTCCAGAAAAAAGATATCCACTCTTTTGTAAGTTTATGTATTTAACTCATAAATGTATTAAAAATGAAAAACTGCTTAAAAAATCTCAGAATATAATTTTTCATTTATTTTGAGATCATTAAATATCTACGGTAAATATCAGTCCAGATCTCCCCTTGCTTGCACGTAATGGATATGTCGAGGAAGTTAACATTGGAGTCGCTCTTCTGGTCCAGATGCAATGTTAAACCGTAAGGGTTGTTGTTGAGTTTGTTTAAAAAAAGAAAGTTTGATGACATTTTCATACTTTGGCGCGAAGAGCCTAACCTGCAATTTTTTTAAACAAACTCAACAACAACCCTTACGGTTTAACATTGCATCTGGACCAGAAGAGCGACTCCAATGTTAACTTCCTCGACATATCCATTATCTACAGTAAACTAAATACAAACCAGTAACTAACCAACAAGCATGTTTTGATGTAGTTAACCAAATATCAAATGTTGGTTAACAAAATAACAAATGAAAACCAAATGTTTGGTTATTTTTATGACACCACTATGTCATATTTTCATTTACATTTTATGTTTTGAGATGATTGATTTATTTATTCATTAGCAGATGACATTATCAACAACTTGTTTAGCATCTTGATCAAAGAAATTAATAACTCAACAAGCTATTTCTGTTAAGGCAAAACTGAAAGATGAGGGAACATAAAAACATTATAACAGAAATCATTTCAGTTAAAAAATCTAATTGAGATATGAAAGTTCTTTTAATATTGGTAATGGTGGTTTAAGGATAATCTAATGATTGATATTGTTAATATTATAAAGTATATTTTTACTATACTTCTGCATTTTTCTAATTATAATTTTTTAATTTGTAAAATGAAAAGATATATTTTAATCTTTTTAAGCAGTTTTTATTTATCAAATTTAAAACAATTTAAATATTTTTTCTGTAGGTAACATTATTTAGATTTGTATACAATATTGTGAATATTAATATATTTATTAGAGACAATATAGTTTAAATGCTTTATAATTTGATTGAAATTTAATCTACAAATAAAATTTTTATATATTATGCTGACTTTTACTAACACACTATTTTATATTTAGAGATTTGGTTGTATTGTGATCTACAAAAAATCACTATTTAATCATATCTTCTGTTTATTAAATGGGATTTTTATATTTTCTATTTTAACTTATGGTATAAAATATAAATATATTTTCTTGTAAATTGATGTCTAATGTTTATTAACATTTTAAAGACCAACTTTATTTGTCAAATTAAAATAAAAGTATAAAATGATAAAAGTTCAGTTTGATCTGTAATACAAAAAGTATGTTTTCTTCTTAGTATTAATAAAATAATTTAACGGTATTTTATAATAAAGTTCAAAGAATTTAAATGTTTCAAAATAAACTGACATAAATATATAAATTATATTTGGTAGACATGTACATATAAATGATAACAGTTCTATCCTCTTCCAGCAGAAATATTTTATTTATCAAACATTTTTGACTAATGATTTGGCATGAGGATGCAGCCATCCTCAGGACCAAATTACTAATGGATTGGAATATGATATTTAATGTGCAGGAGGAAAGAACAACTTTGTTATAAATAGGTAAACATAGAAGTATAGATGTAGGTAGAAGATATCTACAATTAAGAAACAGAATGGAAGAACTGAATGGTAGCTGTAATAATGCCTGTCACACGTGTTCATGTTGATCCATTGTTTTCAGGGTTCAATAAGACAAGGGCAATAATTAACATAATAACTTTAATGTATGGAGTTGGAACAACAGTTCGTAACTTACACAAGAATCATAAAATAGTCAATCAAGTTTCATATTTTCCAGCAGTCTTTGGAAATCCCTTTTCACTTACTTTTCACAATCCTAGTCTTCTAAATTTTTACATGTTCTTACCAGGCCCACGATCCTCACCACTTACTTTTCTCTCCCTTATCACAAGTGCTTTTCTTCTGGTTTTTTCTTTTCCCAGAGTTCTCTGCACACACCTTCCCTTGTCCTCACATCCTAGGGCTTTTGTTTTCTTTCTTTTGATGCTACTCATTCTTTTATCTAGATCAGACATTGTCACCAATATTAAGGTGGTAAGCCACAATAGAATACATACAATTTAAAAATTTTAAAAATTGAAAAGTTTTATAATGACTTCAGACATTTCAAAATCTTTATATAGGACCAGTTGAGAAATTGATAAAAGACACTCCAAACTGGAAGACAAAGAGAGGTTTTATTTTACAGACTGTACAGTGTGAAAGCGGGAACAAGAAGTGAGGAACACGTGGCAGTGTTGCCGATGTGCAAACTACATAACGCACCCTGGTGGTGGAACCCAGCATAACAAAAATTAAATATTTTTCTTTAACACTCCTCCTAAATTTTTACATTTTTGTTACACTCACTACAATCAAGATCTAAGATACAAAAAGAATTAAGAGATNACGAAAAAAGTCCACTCTTCAGGCAAACCACCCCTTTTATACCGTCTCCCTGATACATACTACGTCATTACTACGTTTACAACCCTCACCCAATCAGTGAGCACACACCACAAAAAGGTGATTTTCCGACATGAACGAAAATTTTACATACACGGATCCATAATCTGATATGAGATAAACCGAAACAAGACATTACATTTGTGTACAATACAATTAGTGCTGTAGCACTACAGTAATTTTCTTTTTATTTGGGTTCCAGAACCCTATTTATCATTTTAAAACTTTGTGGGAAGTACTCAATCTTTAGAGTATTCCCTGTAAAGGAACAAAGAAAAATCTTTGAAGAAATAAATTACACACACTATGACTTTAATGCAAGGAACTTAAAGTTTATTTAAGTCCTTCCGATCACTTTTCTGTCCTTTTACTATAACAGACACTAAAAGAAAAGAAACAACACAAAAAAGGAAACAGTTACATGACTCTCTCATCTTCGAGTCTTCTTTTTTTTTCTTCCAAAAAGTCCTGCTTTTTCTATAGAGCATGCATAATATTTTTCCTTGATCCAGGTTCTTTGGTCATAGTCGAGCATGCCCATCCAAAGGAGTTGGTCACACAACAGAACACGTGGTCTTCAGACTACAGTTTTTTTATTTTTTAAAACTCCAAAATAGTTCGGAAAGTAATTATAGTTAATTTTTTGAAAAAGATTTTGCAAGTGTTTTAAAAAGATTAATTTGTTAATCTCCTAACTAAACAATATTTTTAATAAGATATAATTTTTTTGAAGAATTTTTTAAATTTGTTGTTAATACGTTTTTTGTTAATGTATATAAAAATACATGATGAAATATATAATAGCGAAATATTAGTATAATTTAATCAATTATCTTATCAAAACTTTAAACCTATAATATAAATCATAAATATTAAATTATATCATGTTATATTTATGGAAATACGGTCGACCCCCCTGTAACACGGTAGATACGTTCCGTTTTTTATGAAATTGATGTTTTAGGAGACCTTGCCAATCACAGTTCGACACGTGTGAAGTTTATGGACTACAGCTGTTTGAAAGGTTTTCTTCCATAAAATTAATCAATTCCTAGACTAATTCGACTCAACATTTCCAAAACATGTATATATTTTTGGGAATAATCCGTATAAACTATGTTATAAAAAAAAAATTGTAGGATTACTTACCGAGTGTGCACCGTTCGACTACCCCATTGCTTAAGCTTGTTTTCGTCACAGAGCAACGCACCAAATGGTGGCCACGATTTCTGATAAGTTATTTTTCTGCAAAAACTTCCTTGAACTTTGGAGACATCATTAATATAAATAATTTTTATGGCCGTTGAATAAGAAATGTTTCTTTCACAAGAAGTGTATAAAATTAGTGCTGTATTAGACTTACGGTACCTAATTTACATACTGTACAGACGATAGTAAACTCAACTTACTCGCCTAAACTCTCCGTAGTGTGGTGCTGGATGGCGGAAAGTAGTTTGGCTGCCCGATGACGTTTTACCAAATTATATGAGTTTTTTTTACTATGTTTGTACAGATACCATCGCAATTTTTTTGCCGTCATATAGGAATCCGAACTATAGGAACTCGTGTTATAGGGGGGTCGACTGCACAGTATTATAATGTCAAAGGTTTTCAAGATAGATAATCTAAAATATTATAAATATGACTTACCAAATTAAAACACTTATAATTAATTTTATAATTGTACTTTGCTGCGCTGCAATTTGAAAAAAATTGTAGACCTACAAATTCCCACTGTCATCTATCTATCTGTTTGCTGTTCATATGTCTTTTCTTAATTTTGAGAACAGAATTAGGTAGATGAAATCCAAGACCAGTTGTAAAAACCTTAGTGAGGCACAATTGACAATAACATGACTTTTGGTGCAAACTGGAAATCATGTTATTTCAATTCAAAAGTTTTAATAGCAGTTAAAAGCAGTTAATAAATGATTAGCACAACTCTACTGTTAAAGGAAAAGTATAATGTACAGGGACAAGATACTACTAATTTGAGGTGGAGAGCATATATTTTAAATTAAATAAATTAAAAATATGATTAAAAATTGCAGACCAGCATTGTGATGATGTCAGAATAAATAATCATTCATTTTATTTCTTATTGTTTTGAACACATTAACCTGAAGATCATCTATGTAGATCAGAAACATTTGTATTTTATCTGTATTAAACTATACCGGAATTTCATTTATAAGGTTCATAGGTTTGCATTTTTTACTCTATATTTAATTAACATTTATCAAATATGGGAAATATATTTAAAGTAGGTTTATATATAATTTATAAAAATGACTAAACAAAAGTATAAATTACATTAATATACAATACAATTATTATATTCAGTTTAACATGAAATTCTTAACTCTCATTTGAAACTTTTTTTCAGAAAAATGAATTACTTCATATTTTTGGTTCAATGCTGGCTCGGAAATTAGCTGAATTTGGTGACCATATTAAATTATTTGGAAATAATATTATTCAAAGAACTATTGAACTATATTACGACATTTTGAACAATATTCATCCTTCACCATCACACATTCATTACATGTTCAGTATAAGAGATATTGCAAGAGTAAGTTAAAAATATAGTAGTTTTTACAAAAGAATAGAAGTTAGTTATTCATATACATATTATTTTTAGAAGTAGTATATACTGTACAATAACTTTTAAAACATTATTATTGTGGATGTATGGAATAATTCAAAATTAACTGACATTTTTAATTTCATTATATTTTTCATTAATTAATTAACTGTTTTGCAGTCTAAAAAATAAATTTGTGTTCCCTCACAAATCCATAAAATTTTAATGTATTTAAATATTTTGTATTTATCCCAAGTTATGGGAACAATTATACATGTAAATTAGAAATGGATTTTTTATATACAGTAGAGCGTCATTTATCCAAAAGCTGATCAACCGAAGCGGCGGTTAACTGAAAGCGTTCCCGTCAGACTGTGTTGTGCTGAATGGAACGTTTTTGATACTAGATTAACTTCCAAAATATAATTTTTTTGTTTTTATATTTTTCAATATATTTATTTTGTTTGTACAAAATAAAGAAATAATTTTTAATGAGACAATAGCCACGATTATTATTTTAAAAAATTTACATTAGGCTTAACATCAACGAAAATTCAACACAAAGCGACATGCAACAAAGAAGAATTTCAACATAGGATAGGTTAATATATTTTTTCATACATAATCGGTTATCCGAAAAATAAGTTATCCGAACAACCTCAGTCCCGAATTGATTTGGATAAGCGACGCTCTACTGTATTTCAGTTATATTTTTTTTACTAGTACTTAAGAAATGAATGCTTTAACATACATTTAAATGTGAAGTAAATTTAATTTTATAAAACGTTATTTGAAAGTCATCAGACTGCCATTTGAAAAAATTGTAGACCTATAAATTTCCACTGTCGTTCATCCATCCATCTGTCTGTGTGTCCTTTCTTAATTTTGAAAATGGAGTTAGATGAAAGTCAGACCAGATATGGAAAGCTTAGGGGCAGGAGGCCCCGATTAACTATATATGAACTTCTGGTTTGCACCAGAATTGATGTTATTTCAATTCAAAAATTTTCCCTAAAAGGAGTTAGATAGATGACCAACATGACTCTTTTGCTAGTAGAAAAAGTACAATGTACAAGGACAAGACACTGCTAATTTGAGGTGAAGAGCATATAATTTGATATTTGAAGAGCATATTAATTATATGCTCTTCAAATATCATCAAATATCATATCAAAAAATTAGCATTTGATTAATAATTGCAGCCCTGCATTGTGATGATATCACAATAAATAATTGCTCATTTATAGTATAATTTTAATGTTGTAAATTCTTTTGTGGAAAATAATACAAATGAATAGATGATTTTTTATAAAAATTGTCTTCATGTTTGACTTTTTTACATAAAACTCAGGAAAGATATTTTTGAAAAGACTTAGGTAAACATAATTTTATATTCTCCTATGAGTCTATTATTTGAAATAACTAAGAATTTCTATATAGAGTTTAGTTTAAATATTTAAAATATAATTTACTATATGTTTAAAATATATTTAAATTTGACTTACAAGTAATATTAAATGCGAAATTGCATTTCAGTATATTTTTTATATAATTTTTTTATCTTATTTAATTAAAATCTTTAAAGTAACAGTTTATATCAATTTGGAACAATAGATTAAACACTTTATATAATAAAAGAAACATTTTGAAACATTAAAATAATAACAAATTAAAATTTTGAAAACTTAGTAAATGATTCTTAAATAATATACTTACAAATTAAGAATACCAATGTGTGAAATAATATTTTACTGATATATCGTAACTATTCAAAAAAATTTTTCAGATTACTTTAAATTTTTTTTAATAAATATAATAATTTTTAATGTATTTAAATATATTATTTGTAAAATTTTTGTAATTTTTGTTTACTTAAGAACAACCAAAATTTATTTTTAATTAATTAAAAGGAGAATAAAAATTATTTAGTTAAGTGATTGAATAATTGAAAATATTTGAATTTGTTAAGAATGTTTTTGTAACACTTCAATAAAATATCTAAAGCAGTTTGAATCATATAAACTTAAAAAAAAGCAAAAAGTATTATATAATAATAATTATATTGAAATAAATTTTTAGTAAAGTTAATTATAATTTTTATTATTTAGGTAGTTGAAGGATTACTTTGTGCCAACAAAGATTACATTGATACTTTAGAAAGTTTCAATCGTTTGTGGATTCATGAGTGCATAGCTGTTTTTTCAGATAAACTTGCCTCAGATCAAGATATACAGCAGTTTTTCTTATTTCTCCATGATAAACTTAAATTACTTTCTAATCAAACATTAAATAATCTTTTTCCAGAAAAAAGATATCCACTTTTTTGTAAGTTTATGTATTTAACTCATAAATGTATTAAAAATGAAAAACTGCTTAAAAAATCTCAGAATATAATTTTTCATTTATTTTGAGATCATTAAATATCTACAGTAAATATCAGTCCAGATCTCCCCTTGCTTGCACGTAATGGATATGTCGAGGAAGTTAACATTGGAGTCGCTCTTCTGGTCCAGATGCAATGTTAAACCGTAAGGGTTGTTGTTGAGTTTGTTTAAAAAAAGAAAGTTTGATGACATTTTCATACTTTGGCGCGAAGAGCCTAACCTGCAATTTTTTTAAACAAACTCAACAACAACCCTTACGGTTTAACATTGCATCTGGACCAGAAGAGCGACTCCAATGTTAACTTCCTCGACATATCCATTATCTACAGTAAACTAAATACAAACCAGTAACTAACCAACAAGCATGTTTTGATGTAGTTAACCAAATATCAAATGTTGGTTAACAAAATAACAAATGAAAACCAAATGTTTGGTTATTTTTATGACACCACTATGTCATATTTTCATTTACATTTTATGTTTTGAGATGATTGATTTATTTATTCATTAGCAGATGACATTATCAACAACTTGTTTAGCATCTTGATCAAAGAAATTAATAACTCAACAAGCTATTTCTGTTAAGGCAAAACTGAAAGATGAGGGAACATAAAAACATTATAACAGAAATCATTTCAGTTAAAAAATCTAATTGAGATATGAAAGTTCTTTTAATATTGGTAATGGTGGTTTAAGGATAATCTAATGATTGATATTGTTAATATTATAAAGTATATTTTTACTATACTTCTGCATTTTTCTAATTATAATTTTTTAATTTGTAAAATGAAAAGATATATTTTAATCTTTTTAAGCAGTTTTTATTTATCAAATTTAAAACAATTTAAATATTTTTTCTGTAGGTAACATTATTTAGATTTGTATACAATATTGTGAATATTAATATATTTATTAGAGACAATATAGTTTAAATGCTTTATAATTTGATTGAAATTTAATCTACAAATAAAATTTTTATATATTATGCTGACTTTTACTAACACACTATTTTATATTTAGAGATTTGGTTGTATTGTGATCTACAAAAAATCACTATTTAATCATATCTTCTGTTTATTAAATGGGATTTTTATATTTTCTATTTTAACTTATGGTATAAAATATAAATATATTTTCTTGTAAATTGATGTCTAATGTTTATTAACATTTTAAAGACCAACTTTATTTGTCAAATTAAAATAAAAGTATAAAATGATAAAAGTTCAGTTTGATCTGTAATACAAAAAGTATGTTTTCTTCTTAGTATTAATAAAATAATTTAACGGTATTTTATAATAAAGTTCAAAGAATTTAAATGTTTCAAAATAAACTGACATAAATATATAAATTATATTTGGTAGACATGTACATATAAATGATAACAGTTCTATCCTCTTCCAGCAGAAATATTTTATTTATCAAACATTTTTGACTAATGATTTGGCATGAGGATGCAGCCATCCTCAGGACCAAATTACTAATGGATTGGAATATGATATTTAATGTGCAGGAGGAAAGAACAACTTTGTTATAAATAGGTAAACATAGAAGTATAGATGTAGGTAGAAGATATCTACAATTAAGAAACAGAATGGAAGAACTGAATGGTAGCTGTAATAATGCCTGTCACACGTGTTCATGTTGATCCATTGTTTTCAGGGTTCAATAAGACAAGGGCAATAATTAACATAATAACTTTAATGTATGGAGTTGGAACAACAGTTCGTAACTTACACAAGAATCATAAAATAGTCAATCAAGTTTCATATTTTCCAGCAGTCTTTGGAAATCCCTTTTCACTTACTTTTCACAATCCTAGTCTTCTAAATTTTTACATGTTCTTACCAGGCCCACGATCCTCACCACTTACTTTTCTCTCCCTTATCACAAGTGCTTTTCTTCTGGTTTTTTCTTTTCCCAGAGTTCTCTGCACACACCTTCCCTTGTCCTCACATCCTAGGGCTTTTGTTTTCTTTCTTTTGATGCTACTCATTCTTTTATCTAGATCAGACATTGTCACCAATATTAAGGTGGTAAGCCACAATAGAATACATACAATTTAAAAATTTTAAAAATTGAAAAGTTTTATAATGACTTCAGACATTTCAAAATCTTTATATAGGACCAGTTGAGAAATTGATAAAAGACACTCCAAACTGGAAGACAAAGAGAGGTTTTATTTTACACACTGTACAGTGTGAAAGCGGGAACAAGAAGTGAGGAACACGTGGCAGTGTTGCCGATGTGCAAACTACATAACGCACCCTGGTGGTGGAACCCAGCATAACAAAAATTAAATATTTTTCTTTAACACTCCTCCTAAATTTTTACATTTTTGTTACACTCACTACAATCAAGATCTAAGATACAAAAAGAATTAAGAGATAGGTCCAGAGTGCATAGGAAGCAGTCTCATTTAAATTTACAGACTCTCATACAATTTCTAAAGTACTCAAACTTAATCCGAGATAGTGGTTTTGTAAATGTATCACCTAACTATTCGTTGCTGTCTACATGCTTTACTGTTATTTCTGTTCCTATCTTTTCCTTTACAAAATGGTATTTAACGTCAATATGTTTGGTTCATTTAGATGCTTTCTTATCATCTTTAGTAATCATGTAAATTGCACTGTTGTTGTCAACATACATTACTGTATATTCCTTAGTTAGCATTTTTAGTTCTAATCTGAATTTTCTCATAAACAGCATTTCTCTAATAGCTTCACTGGCAGAAACGTATTCTGCTTCAGCAGTGAATAGTGCAACAGTTCTTTGTTTTCTGGAGTGCCACGATATTGCTCCTCCTGAGTACATTAGTAAGTATCCTGATGTGGAACGTCAAATCTTCCAAATTCCCAGCAAAGTCTGCATCACTATACAGAGCTAGTTTTTCGTTACCATTGTATAAGATTCCATAATCAGTAGTTCCTTTTAGGTATCTCAAAATTCTCTTAGCTTGAGTCCAGTGACGGTGTTTTGGGTTTTCTACGTATCTACTTAGGTAATTTACAGCAAATGTTATATCTGGTCTACTAATAGTGGACAAATATAGGAGCCTACTTATTAGTTCTCTGTATGGTTTACCTTTAGCTTCCTTTGCCTTCTTCCACTTTGGTTCAGTTATGGCTTCTGAAGTAGATATCTGTTCACAGTCTGCAATCGTTGCATGATGATCGTACCTTGATGGCAGTTTAATTTCATTCTTACTTCTTAAATTGTATGTTTTGTTTTCTGTTTGACTTTCTCTATTTTCTTGTTTCATTTCTTCACATGCTTCTTCTAAAGCTGATTCGGATTCTTCTTCTTCAGTATTACTTTTAACAGGGATTGAGTTTTCTTCATTCAGATCTAGAGTTATATTCTTTTCAGATGGTATTTTATCTGACTGTGAATTTTCAGTTTGTTTTTCATCGTTAAATTCTACATCGCGAATGATCTGGACATCATCATCTTCGGGAAAATAGATTCTAAAGCCTTTGGTGTTATATCCATAGCCCACAAACAAACTTTTTTTACTCTTAGCGTACCATTTTAAACGTTTTTCCTTAGGTACATGGTCATGTGCAGTTTCTCCAAACACATGTAATTTACAGTAATACCTCGACTTACGCTACCCCGACTTACGTGAACCCGGAGTTACGTGATTTTCAAATCTCGTTGATTCATCTTTTGTTTGAGCGCCACACAACCCTTGATTACTCACTCCCCGCACACTATTGTTCAGCTTACATGTTCGGATGTGTCGCGAGGAATCGATGCATAGCTACAATTTATTTTGTGTTATTTATTTCTGTGTTTGTTATATCTAAGGAGACTTGAGAGACTCTATGTGGCGATTTCTTGCAACCGTGAACGAACCAAAAGGCGAGATAAGATTAACGAGAACATTTATTAGCTTACATACATTTGACTTGGATTTTACACAAATTGCGAAATTATACCCCGACTTACGCGAATTCGACTTACACGGTTATCGCTTGATCCCACCTATCACGTAAGTTCGGGGTATTACTGTACTTATATCTACATTTTTGTTGTACCAAACTTCATTTGGTGTTTTTCCTTCAACACTACTTCTTCCAGTTAGATTTATAACATGTACAGCTGTGTTTACAGCTTCTATCCAAAGTGACTTGGATAATCCTTTTGCATGGATCATTGTTCTAGCTGCTTCAATGATTGTTCACATTTCTCTTTCTATTCTACCGTTTTGTTTTGGCGAGTATTTACAGGATAACTGATGAACAATTCTTTCTTCTTCTTCGGTTTCTTTGATTAAACGGTTAACTTCTTTACCATTGTCTGTCTTATTATTTTGACTTTGTAGTTTAAGTTATTTTTAATGTATTTGATGCATTTTCCGATTCTGTCTTTGGCTTCATTCTTTCCTTTTAAGAAGTATACAATTCTGAAGTGACTTAGGTCATCTTTTACAAGCAGGAAATAGCGAGCTCCTCCTACAGATTCTGTCTCCATAGGTCCACATAGATCGATGTGTAATAATTCACCTGATGCTTTTGCTCTTGAAGTACTTAACTTGAAGGGAATTCGATGTTTTCCTTTCATGCAGGATTCACAAAAGAAGTCAGGGTTATCTTTGTACTCTATTCCACATTTCCTTAAAATTTCTTGAACTCGTTTAATGTTTTGATGAGCTAATCATTCATGGAATTTTCTTATGTTTTCCTTCTTCCTGAGTGTTCCAACGAAAGCTGTGTTTTTCAGGTATTTTTCAAATTGCATATAGTATAGCTTTTCTTTCTTTGTTCTGATAGCAAATACTTCATTGTCTTGAACAAGTCTACAACCTCTTCTGTTGTAAATCATACTGAAGCCTCTATCTGATGCTGAGCTGAATGAGAATAGATTAAACTTCAGATTTGGAACGTATAGGACATTGTTGAGACTTGATAAAGTGTTTTAGTTGCCATTATTAGCTAAAAGTTCAACTTTGCCTGATCCATAAGCTTTAAGATATGATCCGTCGCCAATCTTTATCAACGTTGGTTTATCAAATTCTGAATAATTTAGAAACCATTCTTTCTTTGTGCACATGTGATCACTGGCTCCACTGTCTGCAATCCACGAGTTTTCACTTGGTCCTACCTACGCCATATTCAAACCGATGAATGCTGCTTTCCTTCTATTGTTCTTTCTTGTTGTCCTCTTTTCCTTTTCTTTTTGTAGCCTAGCTGGACACTGAGCTATGAAATGACCAATTTTATCACAAAAGTGGCATGGAAATCTCTTATTGCTTTGGTATTGTGGATTTTATGAGATTGAAGTGCAACATTGTCCAGTTTTTCTTTATTGGAGTTATTCTCTGTAAGTCTACACTCTTCAAGAAGCAGCCTGGATGTTAGATTGTGCAAAGTACGTTCTTTTTCAACGACAGATTCCCAGGCAGTTACAAAGTGTGCATATTTAGGTGGCAGGGAAGAAATTATTGTAGTCATAAGCATAGTTTCAGAGATCTCATCATCTTGCGCCTTCAATTTTTCTACAATGTTCTCTAAATCAGAGATATGCGTTCCTATTCCTTTTGCTTGAAATTCATAGTCAAAGAATTTTTTTTGTAAAAGATACTTTCCAATAGATGATTTGGGTTCAAATAGACTAGTCAATTTCTTCCACATTTCAGATGCTGTTTTACAACTTATTAGATGGGACAAAACTCTGTCTTCTACAAGAGATACAACAATATCTTACACTTTTTTCGTCTAGTCTCAATCTTTCTTTGTCTGTCGGTGATTCACGCAATATGTCTATCCATCCTTTGGACCGCATGTGAACTTCTACTCTAAACTTCCATAAGTTCCAGTTTTCACCACCCTTCAGTTTAGCAATAGTAAAGGTATTATTTACAGATTCCTTTTTAGTAAGATGACTTGATCAATGAAGTTCAGATACTTAATTCTTCGATTAAAATTGACTTATCCTGACGTGGCCTGGGCCCATAACCTGATAAAAGACACTCCAAACTGGAAGACAAAGATTGGTTTTATTTTATAGACTGTACAGCGTGAAAGCGAGAACAAGAAGTGAGGAAGACGTGGCAGTGTTGCCGATGTGCAAACTACATAACACACCCTGGTGGTGGAACCCAGCATAACAAAAATTAAATATTTTTCTTTAACAGAAATTAATTGAATATGTTAAAGACAAATGTTTTTGATCTGCATCTAAGATCTGCTTCAGGTTCTTAAATGTAGATCAAAAACATTTGTCTTCAACATATTTAATTAAAATTCTTAAGTGGTCTTTGAAGTGTTTGATTCATTTACATGACCAGTAAGAAAATTGTGAAGTTGTGAAGAAAATTTTAATGGCTTTAGAAATGAAGCAAGAATAAATAAGTAAGATGAATACAAAAGATAAATAAATAAAAAAATACATTAATAAGCCAAACAATTGCTGTATTGAATCAGGCTAGCAGTAAAGTAGATTGATTCAATATAGAGATCGTTTGGCTTAAAACATCTGACTTTGAGATGTTTATAGAATACATAAAAAAAAAAATTAAAACAAAAAATAAACTATGAATGAATGAAATACATAATAAACTAAAATTAAAGACATAGTATCAATGGCTTCATTTTACTGGTTAAAAATGTACTGCCAAGCTGTGGGCAGGCAACTAAACATCTTTATGATTAATGCATAAATTTTTCATAGCATGTTTATGTATATTGTTATTTTTTCAATGACTTTTATGGTAACTTGATTCCTGGCCATTTTTAGGAATTTTACATCATCAAAGTGGGAAATGTTTTTTGGGTCTGTGACCATGATTTCTAATGTCATTGTGCCTTTTGCTGTACATATATCATATTGATATTCTTTGAGCTGTATTGGAAGGTTGAGATGTTTAACCTGTTTACTAATGTGGTCTTTGTGTCCTAGGAGGAATGGTATTTCTTAAATGCCAGAAGCTGTGTTATGATCAATTATCATTTTGTAGTAGGCTATAAAAGGTATCATATTGTATCGTCTCCAATTTAATGGCCTTATGGAATGTGCTGTCAAGCAATTTGTTGTGTGTGACTGCTATTTCCACAGATTGTGGGGTAGTAGTCACCCTAAGAGGCAGAAGCCCCATGATAAGCATATGTATTAATTATATAATATATGATGTGTTGATTGAACTCATGTGTGGTCACTATGCTTCTAATCTTGTCAAGCTTTTTCAATGTGTCTTTTATGTTAGTGCAGTGGGTATGAACCCTAAAAGTTGCTATTTCTCGAGACCCTCATCAGAAGTTTCAGAAATGAAATGAGAATAGATAAGAAAGATCTTTATATCCAGAGCAAACATTTCAATAACTTATGCATTTTAAACTAAAGTAATAGCATTTTCCTACTGTTATAAATACTGTTCTAAACATTGTATTTTTGTTTTTAGACATGTTTAATGTATTGTTAAACAGCTGAATTTCAAATTTAGGCTAATTAAAAAAGAAATTATTTTTTCTGGATTAACATATTTTTGATAGTGTAATGTAATAATCAAAATTGATATTACAAGAACAATATACGGAAAGCTTATTTAAATTATTTATTCACAAGCAAATGAACTTTAAGAGAAATTTTATTGAAGAGAGTTCAAATTCTATTAAATTTTCTATTACTTTTAGACCTGTAGTATTTATTTTTTAAAGTTTGTATTTTAATTCTCAGGTTTGCTTTATTATTATACTTTTTGTAATATTAAAATGTGCAAGTTACTCAAAGATTTTTAAAAAATCTGCTGTTTAAAAGTTATAAAGTATAAATGTTGAATGCTGTTTTTAAGATTCATTATTAATCAAGATTTTAACAAAATTTCATTTTAATCTTATGTAAGTTAGCTTGTTTATGTAAAAAAAACAAAAAAATGAAATTATCATTATTGAGTACATTTAAGTTAAATAAATATTTTTGACTAATAAATTCAATTATAAATAAATTTAATTATAAAATTGTGATCTTATTCAGAAATTCATTATGTATTTGTTTTATTTAGATTTTGTTAACATATTATATTTTATAATTAAAGGTGATTTTACACATGAAAGCAAGATTTATATGGAAGTAGATCAGAACAGTCTTACAGAATTTCTTCAAAATGTTTTACAACAATACAACAATTTAGAATATACTTCTCCAATAAATTTAATTTTGTTTGAAGATACAATTAAGTATAGTAAGTGTCACTTTTTATATCAAACTTTATTTTAAACAAGAAAAAAATTTTAAATTATAATGCAATTGTAAAGAGTTAAGTTTGAGCATTATTGGTCCCAGATTGGTCTTTGTCCGTTACCAGGTGAAATTGGACCAGATCAGTTCCCAAGAAAGACGATCATTTATTAATACAATTCAACATAGTCTTTCATTTGATGTTGAATGAACCTTGTACCTTAACTAACATTTCCTTTTTTGTTCGTCTTGTCTTATAAAAATTTTAATTTACTAATTTTTCTACTTTTTTATTATGTGGTTATAATATAAAATCATTTTATTTTATTTTTCCTTCCTAATTTAGTTCTCTTAATTTTAATTAATCATGAAGATCAAGATTCGTTTTTGTTTGTATACAGTACATGGTTAAAAGAATGTTTTTCATCCCAGCCCAGGGTCTCGCATACATAATAAAGGCACATGGATGGGGTCAAGAGTAAAGTGATACATAATCATCATATATTGTAAATTCTGTATGGAGAAGTGTTAAATACATTTTATTTAAGTATTTGGTATTTTATTTACATCTAAGTATATACAGTAATCTTTCACAATATTATATATAATAACTCATGTTGCATTCAAATCAATAAATAAAATTTATATAAAACACTGATTTGCATGCAAACTGCTCCAACATAAAATGCACATAACTAAACAATTTCTTCATTTCATGTTACGAGTCTAATATATAATCAGAGATAATGAATCTTTACACAATGAGTAAATTATCTTGAGTGAAAAAATTAAGTTGGAAAGCTGAACACACAGTACTACATTGTAGGCTTAGCTGAATTCACAATATGTTTGATTAAAAAAGGTACTCTTAATGCTCTCAGGACAGAAAGAGTCAAAAGTAAAAAAAATCTTAACTGAAATATTTTTTAAAAGTAACATGTTTCATAATAATTAACAATAAGTTCTATGATCACATCATTAGAAAAATTTGCACTTCTATTAAAGTTTAATGTATTCAAATTTTTGTATGGCTAGAGAAGAAATTTGATTTATAGTTAATAGTTTGAATTTAACTAAAACAAACTTAAATCCTAGTTATTAAAAATGAGAATTATATTTATATTTGTTGAAGATGAACATCAATGGATATTAAGTAAGAATCTAACAAAAATTATTTAATAAAGGAATGTTTTTAGCTTTCTAAAAGAAGCCAACTTCAAGTTAACCATACAATCATATACATTATAAATAAGATATAAAGTGATTAAAATTATAATCATATTATAGATTTTTTTTTATATTTTAATTTTTCAAATTCTATTGTAAATGTGCAATATATAAAATACAGAATGAAAATATGTGAAAAAATCTAATTTGTTCAACACTCTAAAACAATTTTTATATTAAACAAAATATTTTAAATTTTATATTAGTTCTAATTGAAAATTCATATTTAAGTTTTTTATTTTAATACTGTAATTAATTGACAATATAAATAAAATAATCAAACATCACAAACTAACTGTGAAACTAAAAAATTAATAGAAGTTATAATTTATAAAAATTATGTATACTGTATGTATTAAATAAAAAAAATGTATTTAAAATTTTGATATTAATTAATATATTTAATTAAGTTTGCAGAATTTGTCGCATTCTTCATTGTGCAAGAGGAAATATGCTTTTGTTGGGTTCAAGTGGAGTTGGTAAACAGACATTATCAAAACTCTCAACATATATTTGTGGTTATTCTCTTTTCCAAATAAAACTTAATGATTCATATAATGAAAATGAATTTCGAGAAGGTTTGTTTATTAGTATTTATGCATATATTCTATTATTAAGACTACATAACACTTAATCTATATGAAAGTTTTATGTAATATGAAAATATGTTAAGCTGTTTCTAATTCAGATCATAACTTTGAATCCATTTCAGGCATAGATGTTTATCTACAGTTTGTATGAAGTGAAGTCAGATTTTAATGGGGATTATTGTTTAAGGAATACTTTAAAGCCACTGGGATAAATAAGTGGCATTGCAAACTAATAAACTAAACTAAATTTTATTTCTATATTTTATTATTAAAAAATAAATGAAAATTTACATTTTTGTTACCATAGTTAACAAATATTTGAAATTGACAATACACCATAGTTAATTTCAAAATTAATTTACTTGTTATTAATTACTTATTAATTTATATAGAGTAAGAGTTCAGATCTCCATATAGAAAGAACTGTTGGACAAATATCAACCAAAGTTGGTATGGACAAAGTGATTAATTAGGCATTATGAATAATGACCAAATAGGGCGTGCAGTGTGATAAATATTGATTCATTTATCAAATTGACGGGTCATTAAGTATTATTAACAATTTTTGGTATAAATTATATAAAAAATTAAATGTTTTTTAGTTATTTATTTGAGCAATTAAGATTTTCATGACATTTGGAATTACATAATTTTTTTTCTTTGTAGCATTTGCATCTATTAGATTTGCAACCAATTTTGCAGCAGCATCGACTATACAAGGTCTGTTCAAAAAGTATCGGACCTTTGGTCGGCAAAAATAAATTTATTGACTTTGAGGTACAAAACCCTAATCCCCTTCAAAGTAGTCTCCTTGGTAATGTATACACTTCTCCCAGCGTTCCTGCCATTGCTGGAAACACTGCTGGAACGCATCTTTTGGAATGG